AGACATCCAGCTATCATTACAATCTTCTGTTATGCTGGTGTTGCAGACTGTGAAAAGATTCTGATTACCGGTAGTCCTACTTCTCTATTAGAAATTGTTTTGAAAAAGAACAGATGTTCCTTGCCTGAGGCCTGTCATAAGGAAATGTGTGCTGCTGTAGGAGGTGTTTTCTGAGATCATTGTTTTTACTTTTCTAAAGGTCACTTTCAGATGTGGTAAAGCTCCCTTATTCTTTGCTTACATATCATCCCTATGGCTCACTAACTGTATGGGGCAGTGACTCCCTTGTGATGCTGTTGACTAATTGTTTCCCTAATATATTTACAGAAATTAAACTATTTAATCTAGTTTGGAACAGATCCTAACATAAAGAAAACACATGCTTGATTTGTGTCAGTATCTCGAAGCTTATGTAGTGGAAGGTTGAGCTAACCAGAGGAAATGAAAAGCACAAGTGTAAGCAGTACATTCGGAACACTTCCTGTATTTTTAGGATTTTGGATATACAAACTTTTCCTTCAATTACAATAACTTGGACAGACAAGCCTGACACACTAAGAGAATTGACTCGTGGCATATGTCTTTTTCTGTTGTCTGGCAAGGAGAAGCAGGATTCAGTGAGCATGTTTTTTTGTGAGGCGTATGCAGGTAAAAACATCATCTGTTGTCTGCTGTTGTCTACCTTTTTTTAAATAAAAATTAGACTGGTTGACATTTTGGAATATTATATATCAAATGATTAGGGTGTTCTTGTTTCATTTGATTTTAAGTTAAATGTAATAGATATTTGGATTTAAAAAAGAATGTGTTTCAATATCAACATTTTCATCATAATACTTCATGTTCCAGTATACACTGTTGATGTAGGTTAAATCAGAGTGTGTTTTAGTATATATATGGTGCAGATTTATTATTAAATACACTTTTTTAACATACATGTCAAAGACGAACAAAACCTGTAAAAATGTATCTTTTAAAAATGTAATTTTAAATAGTGGAGGATGATCAACCTTTATTTTTTACTAAGTCTAACTCTAAAATAAATGGGGGCTTAAAGTACTAACTTATTACAACCCTTTTAGTTCAGGACAACACTACTAAGTAACAATCAACACATTTCGCACAACAGTATAACAACAACAACATCAACAACTGCATTGAGGTCGTTTTGTGGCAAGGTTATTCTATGGGTCATGACAAATTGTACAGATGACACTTTCCTTTTTGTAAAATGCACATGATTCAGTGTTTTGTTAATTTATTATTAGAATGAATCCTCTGATTCCACATTCTGTTTGAATTGCACTCATTGAAATGACTCAATGTATAGCAGAATGTTCCTCCTGTCTGCTGGATGTGTGTGTGAGTGTGTGTGTGTGACCGGTCCTGTGTGGGGGAAAAAGGTTGTGAAAAAAAACTGTAGCTGGCATTCTTTCATTGCTTGCTGAGTTTAATATGTTACACACTCAGTTGAGATTTGATTCATAAGTTGAAGCGCAAGATAGTGTGACTATGTTGGCTTCTTCACCNAGTGATTTTGGAAAATTGCACAATATAAATCTATTCTAGTAGACCTCAACAATGGAATTATGATCAGTGGAAATGGCCATGACATGGGACCTTTAAGAACAAAACAACTCTGTCGAAC